CAAGGGTTACAGACACACAGGAATTAAATGTCACAGATTGACATTTAATGAACTTATTAAAAAGGTACCCTATGGAGTTTTTTTTTTTTTTTTACTAGTAGAGTTAAAAAGCAATTTAGTTCAGTCTCCTGTATGTGCATGAGGACACAGGTGCATGTGATGATATGATATACTGTAATTCACACTGTTCCACTGATGTACAGGTGGCAGTAATGCGAGTAAATGCAACAATGCATGTTTCAAACTTTAAAAAATAAAATAACGGCTTTGCAAATGTTTTATGAGGAAAGAAATTCATTCAACAATGCATTTTGGTAACACTGAATGTAAACAGTAACATTATTTCCAAGCAAACCTCCACAGGGCCCCAGTAAATACATCCTAAACCAGACACTTCTCGTGGAACGCCATGGGCACAATCTGATTCAAAACAGGGCCTCAGAGGAGACTATCTGTGAGAATTCCCTGGCAAATCTGATTTATATTTACTAACCACAAAAACTATAGTGTTCAAAATGACCTCAGTTTTACTTCACCTTTCACATTGCTTCTGCTTATTATAATCTCTGGTAAAATAAACCCTACAACTGATGAGACTGAGTGTAACTAGTGAAACAAGGGACAACTATTTATGAAGAATCACAGTTGGTGTTACAGTAGTAGTTTTGGACTCTCAAATATTCAGACATATTTTATGAAGTCTTCATATGTTTTGTGTGTACAAATCTTAACTTCTAAAGTAACTAAAGCTGTCAGATAAATGTAGTGAAGTAAAAAGTACAGTATTTCCCTCTGAGATTTAGTGGAGTTGAAGTAGAAAGTGGCAAGAAAAGAAAATACTCTAGTAAAGTACATGTTCTCATCCTGCATTGAACATCATCCCATGTTCAAGCATAGTACGTGTAAAGTAAATGTTCTTTATTACTGTGTCCACCCCTGCCAGTCCTCCTCGCTAAGTAAAGTGATACAGTCTCTTTGATCTTGTGAGTAATTTGCACATTGGGAGAAGAACATGTCTTACAGTATCATGTTGTACATAATAACATTTCCCATGACAGTCAGCCCGCTCCTGAGCCCAAATATGCCCCAGTTTTGATGTAATGAATGTTACATTTCCCGCAGAGAGTTTGTCTCTACTTACCACGCATATACTCGATTGTTCCGTCCAACACAAGGTTCAACAGAGGATCAAAACCTTTCAGGACCCCGCTGGCTGAGAGGGAAACACACAGTCTACAGTTTACTTTAGCCAGGATCAATGGCAATCAATCAGTGACTTCGGGAGAAACAATGCCCGAACGTACAAGTTCCCGTTTCCACTGGCTACAACGATTAGCATTATCTTATTGTGAGGATAAATCCACCTACCCTCTCGTCCCCCTTGAAACTTTACACGAATCGGCTTGTCAATGTATTTTGACAAGTCGAAGATGCTCTCCTTTTTCTTCTTTTCTTTATCCTACACGGAGCAAAGAGACATTGTTTGTAACAAAGTCGCATGCAGGCTAACCGCACACACACTCACTGACTTAGCCTGAGGTTAGCTTTGCTAGGCTAGTCAAACACAAGCAAACACAAGACAAACGCCACGTTACTCTCTAATAGGTCTTCTAAATAAATACATTATAAACAATTACTGGCTAAAGATATCTATGAGAATGTTTATGGGTGCAAAGGTAAACAGATGTTTGAATGAAAGAGAAAACCGTACGAACTCACCGCCATGTTCGCCGTGTGACAAGGAAGTTAAACTTTGACCTCAGAAATGTTCCACCAATCAAATCGTTGAGCGCCTGTTGCTGACGTCATCCGTTTTGTTGTTCAGTAGTCTGTTAACTTTATTACAAATTTACTAACCCGAGAAAACAATCAGAGTTTAATTATCAGACAGATAGTGTTCACTTATAAGTCCTTCTGACCTCCCAGTGTTATAATTAGAAAGTGACCTCCCTTTCCATGTCAGCCAGGGGAAAAGTCTATTAATACCACCAGCTGGTGTGTTGTAAACCAGAGCAAAGAGGAGGCACTGTGCAGAAGACGGTTGGTGCGGTTGTTTCTTGTGACATGGCCCACAGAGCCGACACTGACCTTAAACCTTGGAGCTTTGCATTCACAGCTCTCTCTGAACATATGAACAAACCTGAGGAGGATGGATCTGCTTTACATGTGAAAGACCCAAACCCCGGGCCTGATGTTATCCCGGATGCTATTCTACGTGTAGAAGGAGAGAGTTTTCATGTCAACCGTCAACGACTGGCCCTCCAGAGTCCCTACTTCAGGGCTCTATTTTTTGGCTGTGGCGTGGAGAGCAGCAAAAGGAGAGTTGAGCTCAAAGGTGTGAGCCTGCAGCATTTCAGAGTTTTGATGGAATACAGCAGGACATCCAGACTAGCTTTGGACAGAGAAAATGTTCTGGGGATCCTTGAGACTGCAGACTTTTTACAACTGGAGGGAGCCAGGCTGCTATGCTGCAAGTTTCTGGAGCGTGAGCTGCACCTCAGCAACTGTCTGGGAATGATGGCCTACGCTTGGCGGCTGGGCTGCACTCAGCTCTATGTGGCGTCACGACAGGTGGCGCTCACACACTTCTCTGCTATTATCGCTGATGAGGACTTCCTGTCACTGTCTAAGGAGGCCATAGCAGACCTTCTTGCCAGTGATGACCTGGCCATCCATAAAGATGACCTGGCCCTGGAGGCCATCCTACGCTGGGTGTCATTGTACCCTGAACGAGAAAAACATTTTCTGGAGCTCATTGAGCTGGTGAGGCCTGAATCGCTGTCTTTACCATTTATCACTGAACTTCTGACCAGAATGAAAAGCTCTGACCCCAGAGCCAAGCTCATCTGCATGCTGAATGAACATTTTCCAACATCTTGGTCAATGGGCAGGTCAATGAGGAGGACCACGGCTAGAGAGACCCTCTTTGTCCTGGGTGGACCTCACGACCAGGAGCAACAGGCACTTTACCAGTTTCACCCACTCAGTGGTAGATGGCAGAGCTGTGCACCTTTGCAGAGGAAGAACATCACACAGTATTCGGTAGCTGCTGTAGGTAATGGTTGAATAAAGAAAATGGTGATGAAGATAAGTATAATGATGACATTGATTATAAGTGAGGGGCTGAATGAGTATTCATTCATCATGTGGTGCATGTAAGGTTTTATCAGTCGTGCAACTCCCACATTGAACATTAGAACTGTCATGTCATTTCCTAACAGTACCTTTTTTTTATTTTCGGTTTCTCTCATTATGTAGGGGACAACGTGGTTGTGACAGGTGGTTACTTCAGGGACGTACTGTGGTTCAGTGTGGACTGGGTCAGGATATATGAATGTGGGAACCAGTGCTGGCTAGATGGGCCGGCCCTGCAGAAGTCCAGGCACAGCCACGGCTCCATAGGACTGGACTCCGTACTGTATGTCCTGGGGGGCAGCATGGATGAGGGGCTTGTGGCTGATGTGGAAAGGCTGGTGCTGGGGTCAGGGGAGGGTTGGGAGGAGGTCAGCCCCATGGTTAGGGCTGTGGAGAGGGCAGCCATTGCTGCTCTGGGGTCATGTATCTACGTGGCGTGTGGCCTGGATGAAAACGGGGAGGCGTATGGTGGAATCCAGAGGTATATGGTAAAGGAGGATCAGTGGGATGTGGTCTCCTATTCTCCTTTTCCACGGTGAGTGAATTTTCAATAATGCACTGACTCTTCAGCTTTGCTCTCTGACACTGTCAAAGTAATATTTCTTTATTAATATATACATATATATATTACAAAATAGCTTCTCCTTCAGCCTTAGTTGGCAGTGTAATCATGTGGCAATTGAACCTTTTCTTTTTAACCCTTTCACAGATATGACCTGGTTGCCACAGAGCTCAACGGCGCCCTCTACCTTTTTGGAGGCCAAGCTTTGCGTTTTGACGTGGAGACAGATGAGTGGACTGTGCTGGGGGAGGAATGTCTGGACAGGAAGTTCTTCTCTGGCTGCACAACAGTCAGCGGCCAGATATACCTGGTTAGTGAGAGGAAGAGTAACAAGGCATTCCCAAACATGGTGCTGATGGACCCTTATATAGACACTTGCATTGAGGTAGATGATGCCATACCCTGCCCTGTACCCCTCAGAGGGTGTGTCACCATGAGAATGGTCACGTGAGATGTGTGATGTGACTGAATGAAAACACTATTTGTGGTTATGTATATGTTTGTACTAGAAGTGTCATTCTTGCTTTAAACAGAGTACTAGCAAAATATATTTGTATGTAAGAGCTCACGATTTGGGTGAAATTAATAAAATAAAAAAAAATCTGTTTCATAAAAATGGATTGAGTCAACACATGCACATGACCAGTAAAATCATCTGCTTAAAAGAAGACAGCTTTGCTAATTTCTTTAATAGAAGTAATTTATTAAAACCTTTCAACACACAATCAAAAGAACATCTTTGTGCACTCATAAGAGAACAGTCAACAACAGTTTTAATTTACAAAAGCAATATTTTAGTGGGGTCATGGGTGTGTTATTCAGTGGATCAGCCCTTTTAGTCCTCTACAACCTGAATCCCACCTTGTGTTGTGGGCCCTCCTGCTATTAAGTCCAGTTCAGAGTCAGACACAACTCTGCTTCTACTCCCATCACACTTGTCTTTACTTAAAATCAGGTTAGATGCAGTGAGTGAACACAGCAACCACTTATCTTACAGAGTTGCCCATACCAACCTATGAAAATGTAATACCAGTTTTCAAGTGTGTACTCTAGTTTTCCACTGTGATTACATATCTGTAAAATCCAATGACAATGATGTTCCTAACAAAGTAGCAGAGCATAGACTAGTCCTGTCAAAATACTGTATTTCATCAGCTTTTAGAATCACCATTCTTTACATTTTAGTAAGACTGTTCTTTATCTGAGCCATAAAGCATCTGACCTTTCTAGATTAGTCCACTATCTAAAATACTTCACATTTCACTAATGCCTGTCATACTTGTGTGTGTGTGTGTGTGTGTGTGTGTGTGTGTGTGTGCATACTTCTCATGGCTTACCCACCAGCCTCACCAACATTTTAAGCAAAACATTACAACCAGTCACAGTAAGGCCTGGCCCGTGTGTTTGTCCAGTAGTGCTAATCCTACTTACCACACAGAGTTTAAAATCAAGTGCTTGTCACAGAATAGTGTAAAAACAGCAGCCAAAGCAGAAAACTAAAGTCCACTAGAGTAAACATTAACAAAAACCTCACTGAGAAATCATGCTGCCCGTCACAATGATATTCAGAGTAGAAAAAGAAACAAAAAAACAGACACACATACGGTTTAAGTCCATATTCCTAGGAGCAGTACATTAGTTTAGTAAAGGCATCACTTTATCAGACATGGGGATTGCCTTCTCTACAGGGACATGTTTTTTTTTGTGCACCAGGGGGCGCCATATCTTTTATAACAAGTGAGCTTAAACATAACTGACAAAAGGAAATCATATCATGGAAAAGTATAAATACTGCAGTAGAGTTTAATATTCAGCCACAGATTATAACATAAAAATTACCTGTTGAGTTTACGGTTCATAGAAAATAGCTATAGAAAGTGGTTTATCAACAGATATACTACAATCAATGTTTTCATTAGTCTATGTACAATCAACCATACTGTTTATGTGAATACCGAGCTGTGGGAGTGAATGACTAATAAATTACAGCTTTAGTTTGCTCTGTTTAAAACATATTATGCCACCTATTAAATTAGAACAGTTTGATTTTGTATAAAAAACATTTAGTTTTTCTTGTTGACCAAAGAAAAGATAATTGCATTATAACACAGTCTAGGTACTTGTGTCCTTATGTATTAACTAAAAAGTTTTTGTTTTACAATATAAAGAAACAGCATAAACACATAGTTTGCAAATCAACACATATGATTTGTTGTAAAGGAAATTTCACTGTCTCCTTGTTTTACCAAATATATGTATGCAGTGGTGACAGTTACAATGGCATTTCCTCCTAATCTCACACTGGATGTGCAGATCATCTGTGCTTCTTCGCCCGCTTTTTCAAGGTAAACTGGATGCAGACTTACCCTGATCTAGTTCAACTCCAAAAGGCGGTGGGGAAAATATATTTTTTCTCCTAGTGGGGCTTGGTAGACATGGAGCTTTTCCATTATCTGGCTTTCGGTAGTCTGCTGTTTATATTCCTCTGGTTGGTCAGGTTGTTCAGGACACAGTTGTTAGCCAAGGATGCCAGTTTGGAGTTGATTGCACCCTTTCTTTGCTCCCAGCTGCACTCATCCCCTTCTTCCTCAGGCTCTTCCTCTTCATCGTCCACCTCACTCTCCTCATCGCTACGTTCGTCACGCTCCACCTATGAAAGAAAAAAAAGTAATAAAAGACTTTTTAGTGCCAAAGTACTCAGTGTGTGTCCCTTCTCTTTTCATTCACCCTTCTCACCTTGCCTGTGAACACAAACTTGTAGATCATGCGCAGGATGAGATAAGCCCAGAAGATGTGCAGAGCTTGCAGCACTAACAGCAGCGTATTGAAGAAATAATAAGCACAGAAGGGCTGGAAGAATTCTAGAGAAACCACCAGGGTTGTGTGGAGCACTCTGGGAAAAAACACAGTAAGATACAATTAGTTTTAGTATTGCTCCAGCACCAGCTCTTGAAAGGTTCATAGTATTTCGACCAATCAAGTACTGTTCTCAACTGGCAAAATCAACTATTACAAATACTGTAAACCTGCTGTTCTTAGCTAAGAAACCATTTATGTGAGGGAGAATGGAACAATATTGCATGAAGGAATACACGACAACATGGACACAGTTGGGTGCTACAGAGCAACAGAGCAGGAACTAAAAAAACAACATTCAAAAAGTGGAAAATATAAATACCTGCAAGGGAACACCACCAGCCTCGTCACCAGGAAGACCAGAGAGAAGACAACAAACAGCGAGTCACATATCCTCGTCCAGCCGGCATAGTGCAACATCTTGGCAGACTTTAAGTGAAAAAGAAAAAGTGCCTGCTATTAGCAATTGCGAAAAAACAGTGCCCAAACACTCTTACAGCTTACATCTATGATTAACCTCTGCACACAATCCTTGGCTTTTCGCCAATGCTGTATCTAGAGCAACTTGCAGTGAGTGGCCAAAGAGAGGTTCAGTGCTTCAAAGTGACAGCAGGATAGTCTCCCTAGCCACTTACATACCCTGACCTTATTTCATCCATTTTCATTTGTTGTAACATAAGAAATACACCTACCTTTCAATTCAAACTGCCATCTACCACTGAGTGGGTGAAACTAGACCACTAAAATACAAAAATCTAAATTTCTAAATTTAATACAAGAAAAACATTTCCAAAGTTGCCTACATTCTTCCCTTAAGTTGGAATCCTAGAAGCAGTGTAGAAAATTCAAAGGAAATTAAAAGATTTTAAATAAATTAATTTAGGCAATGAAGTTTTGAATAGACCTTCATAGGCCAAAATACCATTAAATATCTGTAATATAATGGGGTTACCAATTTCTTATAATACCAAAACAGTTCTCCTACTCAGAAACACATGCTTAGCTGTACAGAGGTACTGGCTGAATATAACACCCGCATCATTGTCCCTTCATGACATTTATCAGAGGCCAGGCGACACCCAGTCACGTCTGAGGTCACATGACTAGCTGAGATAACAGTGACAGTCTTGATTTTCAGATGGTATCAGTGAAATGTTACACCCAGGAAAATCTGCACCATAAAACCAAGGACAATGGACCTATTGTCTCGATGAGAGACTTGAAGGTAATGATTTTACAGCCACAAAGAATATTTTTTTCAACTCAGTTCATACCACATGCAAACTGAGCGAGGCGTAGGGTTATACTGTGTACGGATAGGAAAACCTCCTCAATAAATGAACAATGGCTGTGTACAAGTCAACTTCCCTGCGACCTTTGTCCAGTGTCACTTAAGTAGACACAATTCATTCATTTCTGAAAACACTTCAATGATGCATTTTCTATTTCCTCATTCCCATTCTTCAACATTGTTGAATGAATCATTTTGCGCAGACTGAAATTCGGGTGTGGTGTTTTACCTCCAGAAGAAAGTCAGAAGAGTCATGCACCAGCATCACCAGAGTGCCAACCCTCACATAGTTGGCACAGTAGGAGAAACCAATGAGGAATATCGTGGCGATGTGATGAATTACCTGCTCCTTGAAATCCTGGAACACACACAGACCACACAGTATGAGAAGGATGTGCAGTAGCGTAACCAAGACTTCAGCAGCTCTCCATCTGTGGTTTGTTCATCAGTTATGTCCAAATATTGGAAAGGCAGATTTACATGTTGTCTGCAGTGATTTGTTGTACTGTTTGAAGCTCAAATATCTTTGATCACAAAAACACTTTTTTTCTCCCATAATGAAGGAAATTGCCTTAGAAAGCTGCAGGAACTGCATACAGCTTAAAATAGATGAATTTCATTGATTATTTACTGTAATTTCTATATATAAAGCATCTTAAATATAGACCACCCACTGTCTAACTGAGAAGTTTAGAATACGTGTAAAAGTTGATTAAGTATCTTCGGATAGGTCTGTGGTAAATCACTTTCATCTTCTATTTTTATATCACTTAGTTTTACGGTATGTGCTAATCTCTTACTACAGATTTCAAATCCTGCAATACTCAGTTTTAAAATGAGAGCAAACGCAAAATACACAAATTTATGATGTAATATTAGATTATTCCGTGCATAATCCGTATTAAATTTACTTTAATAAATTTAGAAAAACAACATTGGGATTACACAAAAAGAAGTGATGATATTTAGCATTTTGGTCTTTACCATATAACTAAAACTTCAAATCTCAGGCACATAATGTGAGGAAATGCAGAGAAAACTGACACCGACAGGATGTTGCATTGAGGTTTTAAGTTTGTGTGTGTGCGTGCGTGTGTTTCATCCTTGAAAATCAAGCTCACACTCACTTTTCGCTTAACATCCACAGAAACACACAGAAGCAGCGACAAATAGAAGCCCATTTCCAATATGTAATACCAGTGATGAGCCTCGGCCACTGGCTACAGGATGAGAGGAAGAGAGAGACAATAAGTTAAACTTTTACATTCAGTGGTCTGTGGCTGGCTGCAATAGAAGCATTTCCACCATCCCACATATCCATGTACCCTCAGGAAAACATACTGTAGATGTATACTGAAGCTAAAAGGGTAAAATGAACTGATATTGCAGAGTGACTTTGGCCCCTCCTGCATGTGTGTGCTGAGAAAGATCTGAAGATTTAGGAGGGTTGCAGGTAATGGGACCCCCCTAAAAGCGAAGAATTCCACACAAACGTGTATTTACAGCTTCAACCCTGTCTAGTTGGTTTGTGTGTGCGTGGAAAAGTACCATGGTGAAGACGAGCAAGCATTCAGTGATAAGCTCCCAATGGTCAGATAGGAACTTCACATTCCGTAAGGAACAACATACAGTATAATGACAAAACTGTCAATGCTTTCATAAACAGGGAGTGTTTTGTATTCGTAGAAAGTGGTGGTGTGCTATCTCAAAACTAAACATTCTTCGAGCCTGCAGCACCACAATGGTAGGAAGACATTTAACCATTAAAAACACATCCTTTCTCTCTGTTTGAGGCCACAAATAAAGGTTAGCAGATGTATTGTCTGCAGGAGCTGCAATCAGTCAAACTGCAGATACAGAGAGCTTTGCATTTTTTCTACTGTTTTCTGTTCGAGGCCATGACCCAGGAAGGGCTGTTTTCTGTGTAGGAATGCCAACATGCAGGCATAACTGTCATCAACACAACACAGATATTAGCTTCTCAAAAAAAAGGAAACACAAACCATTTAGGTCAACTGTAAAGGAAGCGAAAGAGTGGAGAAGAAAGTTAGTGGTTGGGTGGAGTCTAGCCTACTGACCCAACTGTGTTCTTCAGTGGCTAAATCCTTCAAACAGGCTAAAGACTTTGTTTTGTTAGGTCCCTCCCAGCCATTGTTTTTGCATAAGCACTAAATTGCGTTGTTGCTGAAATGTTCTATACAAATAAACTTGCCTTTACTTTAGGGTTGTATATAGAGTTATTCTCACTACCCATAAATCTGTCATTTATCTTTCAATAATGAAAAATGGCCATTGCAAGTTCAAATAGCCCATGTTTTCAAATGTCTTGTTTTGTCCGACGAACAGTCCACAATCAGAGGTATTCAGAATACAATCACATAAAATGAAGTAAAGGAGGAAAACCTTACATTTTAGAGGCTAGAACAAGCTAATGTTTGGCATTTTTGTTTGATTAATTACCAGAACTGCTGTTTCATTTTTAGCTGAACACGTGGTGTATTACTATTTAACTGCACTGAACAAAATTATAAATGCAACACTTTTGTTTTTGCCCCCATTCATCATGAGCTGAACTTAAAGATCTAAGACTTTCTCTATCTACAAAAAATTATTTCTCTCAAATATTGTTGACAAAACTGTCAAAATCTGTGTTAGTGAGCACTTCTCCTTTGCCGAGATAATCCATCCACCTCACAGGTGTGGCATATCAACATGCTGATTGTGGACTGTGGAATGTTGGCCCGTCCTCTTCAATGGCTGTGCGAAATGTCAGTCAGATCGAGACCCCGATGAGGACGACGAGCATGCAGATGAGCTTCCCTGAGACAGTTCCTGACAGTTTGTGCAGAAATTCTTTGGTTATGCAAACCCACTGTTGCAGCAGATGTCCGGGTGGCTATTCTCAGACGATCTTGGAGGTGAAGATACTGGATGTGGAGGTCCTGGGCTGGTGTGGTTACACGTGGTCTGCATTTGTGAGGCCTGTCGGATATACTGCCAAATTCTCTGAAACGCCTATGGAGAAGGCTTATGGTAGAGAAATGAACATTCAGTTCACTGGCAACAGCTCTGGTGGAGATTCCTGCAATCAGCATGCCAATTGCTCACTCCCTCAAAACTTGCAACATCTGTGGCATTGTGCTGTTTCATGGAACTGCACATTTTCGAGTGGCCTTTTATTGTGGCCAGTCTAAGGCACACTTGTGCAATACCCATGCTGTCTGATCAGCATCTTGATATGCCACACCTGTGAGGTAGATGGATTATCTCGGCAAAGGAGAAGTGCTCACTGACACAGAATTTGACAGATATACAATATTGAGAGAAATAGGCCTTTTGTGTACATAGAGAAAGTCTTAGATCTTCGAGTTCAGCTCATGATGAATGGGGGCAAAAACAAAAGTGTTGCGTTTATAATTTTGTTCAGTATATTTTGCATAATGATCTGACACTATTTTGTTGCTAAAATAAAGTGTTTGAAGTAAGTGAAAGTCCTTGCAGGCGAGAGGGAGTGAAAGAACAGCACATTATAAAACAGCAACATTATCAAATCATGCTACTTCCTGCTCACCTGTTTGGGATAACCCCTCCAACACTCTCTGTGGTCCCAGAACCATGGAGCCTGGAAGATCAAACAATCGTCAGCAGAGTCTTCACATGATACAAGCTTTAGACTGAATATTAATTCATGCCTTGTAGGAAAATGAGGTTATACATTCTATGACTATGACACCACATGGGACTATGAAATGCGTATGTATTACTGCTCAAATGTTTTGTAGCTCACACCAAATATTAAATTGAACATTGTAACAACATTGCTATTCCTACACACTGTATCTTTAAAGGCCTGCTTATCTTTTGAAAGGAATCAAAGTGACTAAAAGACTTACATTGATTAAGGAGCCGAGCCCTGCTGTGAACGCTATGATGTAGAAGACAAAACGCCAGCTGCACAGATAAACAAACACCATCATTTGTCAATTAGTGAATTAGCTTTATCAGGAACAAATTTAACAAATGTCAAAAAGCAATGGTGTACAGCAAGGTTTCTATCAAACATGCTGAATCTGAATGACTCTAGGTCTTAAAAACAAACACGGCTCTGGTTTTAAACATGGCAATCTGTTTTTTCCTGTAAAGGTAGACCTCATTCTATTCTGAAATAAATAAATATAGACTTTATATATCATTTTCTGAAGAGACTTATGTAAAAATATGTCTATACAACATCCACCATGTAAAATAATTCACTCTGTGAAACCTGCACCAGGCAGCTCACACTCCTTCACTGCTGTTCTGTTAAGTTTGTTCTTCACTCTTTCCCATTCATTCATTTATCACTTCCTATGCACAGCAAAGATTTGCCCCCCACGTTCAACAACACAGGCAACAAACCTGCAGTTTAGTCAAACAGTGCAAATCTGCACCATCTCAGTTTTAGTGGTGAGGTGCGCTGCTCTACTGCAGCTCCACTTTGGCATTTGGACTGACAAGATCGGTCCCTCAAACATTTAGCCTGCTGCAGCTTTAATGGACAAACAAACAAAACTGTGTTTCAGAAAATAAAAACTCACGAGGCCTCGCAGAACTTTTTAGTGTTGCTGGGTCGGTCCTGGTTCCTTCTGTGTCTGAACCAGGTCTGGATCTTTCTCTGGGAGAGTCCACACTGCTTCCCCAAGCTCACCACATCACTCTGAATACACATTACAGCACAGGCGCACATACAGGGTTAGATTTAACTTTGCACTTAATCAGAGACATTAATTGCTGCTTGCTGCTCTCTCACTCACTGAAATGCAATATTTAACATGTGATAATATTACTGCTGATCTCTCTGACAGCAGCATATTATATACCTATATTAAATAATTTTTTTTTGTCAAAATTGAGGACTTCTACTCTGACATCAGCTGAATAGCGAGCCGATGGTGGAATAGGGTGGTTGGAGTAGGGTGGGATTGACCTGTTCTTCTTGTGTGGCATTTTATTACATTTTTCCTTGTATTTTGTTTTTATTCTAATTTTGTTTTTTTCTTTTTTTCTTATGTAATATGTGTTAATGTCGCAACTAAATGAAATATATAAATAATATATAATAATATATATAAATAATGTTGTGACCATCTACTGTATGTCAATATGGCTGTATAAACAGATCTGTACTGTTGTATTTGTGTAAATGCCATTTGCTCAAATATAAAAACATTGATTGAGAAAAAAAATGGAGGACTCCTACAATGATAAATTAGCTTAACACAACCATTTGTCAGCGCCATTAAGTCTGTAACAAGAGTATGTTCCCTGCTCTCTCTTTCTGCATCCAGATACTTTACACAGTGGTGTGGTGTTGTGTTAGTGGTACAAAGGTGCTTGTGCTTGGAGAAACTTAATTACAGCAACGCTCATGTCTTTCTTAACTACACTGACTATGTGTAGCACTCTTGTGTTGTATTAAAGGATAAGCCAATAACACTGAGGGAGCAACATTATCCCCTGTCTGGGTGGTGCAAATGGATCTTACAAGTTAATTTCATATTATTTTCTGTATTCCATCTTTGTGTCTGTGGCCTGGTATTTACATGGCAGATCAACAGACAGACAGGTGCTGCTGCTGTTTCTAGTCCAGGCCACATGGAAATTGATGACATGCAAATAAGTCAGTGTACACAGGCAAAAATGCACATGTACATGCACATACACACAAGACAGAGCAGCGCTCCACCAAGAGGAGGGCAGATAATTTCCGTGTAACCGTTAATGCCTCTAATTTATTTTCTCCTATTCACTGATTAATGGAGAAGAATAAAACATTTTCTGCACAAAGGAACACTTGCAATTACAGTAATGACATAGTTGTTGTGCTGTTTTTTTGCTGCAGAGGTTAACAAACTTCTAATTGGTAGTTTCACAAAAGGAAATGATGGAAACAAAAGGCAAAAGGATTACTAAGGAGAACAGACAGCCTAGTGATGGGGGAGCTGTTTTAAGGAAGTATCATTTTTTCACACTGTGCAGTGGACACACCTAACAGAAAACGTTCAAGTTTCCTGTATCATGACTAATTCTTGTACCTCTATAACACATCAACCACTTAGCCTCAGAGTCACTTATGTCAATTAGTAAAAAAGTTCCTTGTTCCGAGACAGCCGACAACTCATCCAAATAAAACTGCTAAACAATTATGCTCTTCAGCCAAGATGCAACAATACTCAACTTACACTAACAACATATATTAAACTGTGCTAGCACTACTAATACATTTTCACATCTATCTTTTCACTGTCTGCACTTCGGTTTGCAAATGTATACAAACCTCCACATTAGCAGATCACACATTTCCTTCAACGTTCCTGGCTATTAACATACTAAGCATTGTGAATTGGAGGCCTATTGTGACTACTCCCATTAAGCTCTGCAGCTACTCTGCAGGGTTATACAGAATATCTGTGGAGACCTGCCACATGAAAAACTACTTTAGCATACATTTTTATCCCCTACCGCTATAATCAGGGGTGTAGATTTTACATAATGACAACATGTAATGAAATAATACTGGTTATCATGCTTTCAATAATAATGGTAATCTTACAACAAATTAGAATTGCTGTACAAACTGCTGTGTTATTAGTGCAATACAACTACTTACAATTACAATGTATAAAAGCATAATGGTGTCCTGTGTGATGTTTTTTTATTAGCATTTACATTCCTCCTCTCTTTTTATTATTGGTCTGCATGCTTATAAATTACTTCAACAACATTTTAATTTGTAGTATTATAGTCCTTTTTAAAAATGACATTTGTCCAGGGACTACAGATGAAAAATAGACATTTGGCTAACTCTAGCATATTTGTTACTGTCCTTGTTAAATAAACCATAAATAAATAGATACATTTGCATCATTACAAAAAAAGTATTGTCGTTTACTGCCTTTTTACTGATTTATCTTCAGTTCTAGCATCTTTTTTTGACTGTAGATCAAAATATAGATTAACTGTTTGTTTTATTTCTGAAAAACACACTGACGAGGCCCTGAGTCTGTAGATCTTCCTCTCAAGCTGCATACAGCCCCAGCAAGGCCAGGGCAGCCTGGATGAAGCCTAAGAGTGAAACCGCTCGTGGCTGCTTCTAAAGCTTATTGCTGTGAGTGCAAGGCAATAACTGAAGACTACATCGTTTATAGTGAGTAATCCAAACTGAAGATGTACAAGTATAGGGAACTAAAATAGGATTTGGAAATTATTGATCAGAGACATGAGAGTTTTTCGTTAAAAAAAGGAAGGCAGAACAGGGATACGAACTTGTGATGGTTGCCGACTGTTCTGTTTGTAGAAGCTCTCCAGCTTCGGGATAGAAGCGGCTCGAATGCGAATCCGGTCCTTCACCCCTAAACGTTTGCTTAATCGGACGGCGATGAGCCTGAGAGGACAGAGAACAGGAGAGAAAAGAAAACATGTTTTCATATCAACTTAAGTCTTGATAGTACAACAAACTGGATTATAATTGCAGAGGAATTTATGTGAAGTGACATCAACAGCTGTCCAATGTGATCCTACCATGGTAGAGGACAGAGAAATGGCAACAAGATATTTCATTATGCTGCTCCTGACAGCCTGTAAAGCTGCTCCCAAGGGCATATTGTGATATTTGGCCAGACGGCTTTTGTCATTAGCTGATACAGCATCAACAGACACCTGATCTGCATATGTTAGAGAGATATGGAGTCAGACAGAACGGAGAGGAATAAGGACAATGTGTGTGTATAAGCACTGGAGAGATGTTTTGATAAATGTGTGTGTGTGCCTTTGTGTGCGCACATGCGCATAATCACGTGTGTAACTCTAGCTCAGAGATAATCAGCCTGAAATGGGCAGGGAGGGAGAGATCAGATGGAATGAGATGGTCAGGACAGCTTTACACAGAGACAAACATGATCTCTGGTTACAGGAACATACACACACACACACACACACACACACACACACACACACACACACACACACACCTACCTCATTACAGGCAACAGCTGTGGCCTGGGATGATCAAATGAAAACACACCTTTTCAGCTTCCCGCTGATTGACAGCTCCTCAGACATAAGCAACAACTTAATAATTTACTGTCCACCACTACTACCACAAAGTTGGACCACCAACATACACAAGTGCATAGTGGAATTCAGCATTTTATGCTACTGTTCACTGACCCCTCCTCTACTAATAAATACCTGACGAAGGCACAAACAAGACTTTATGGAAAACAAGGCATACGTGCTGAGCAAGCTCACGCAGATTTTCAACATTAGGACAGATAATACAGCGGCTGATAAGGTAAAGCATACAAAAACAGGTCTCCAATCTGTTCAGCCATCACATCTCTGCATCCTCTCGCTGCCATTCTCAATTCTTCTCCTGCTACCAGCAAAAGTAGTTAAGCAACAGTCAAGTTGACTTTTGCATGATTTACAATTTACATAATACAGTGCTGGGTCTCTAAAAAAATAATGGAACACTCTAGACAAAGGAAATGTTACATTAATCCTTCCCCACATGTAATTTCATATGACTGTGTGATTTTACCTAAAATATATGACACAGTAAATTGACCTCGATAAAGAGAAGTATAATGTTTTTAACACATCAGTGCATAATCTTTCTTTACTCATGTTGTTGCATTTCTGATTTGTTTTGGACTCTTTGTTAAATGGGATTCTGGCATTTTCTTTAAAGGTCAGTAACAGATTCACAATGTTTGTGATTCAATAATTAGATTTATTGTCCAGTCCTATAATATGACATCTTCTTTTGTTGACAATGGTGCTGAAAATTGCACAGAAAATGTTCTGTTAACACATATTGATCTCATATGTGTCTATCATTTTTGTTTCCATCGGGTGACTAATATCATGGGTTTGTTGGGTGTTTTTTTTGTTTCCCATGTTATGTTGTAGTTTTGGTCTGCCCTAGTGTTCTGGTCTTGTTTTACTGTGTGATATTCGTCCTTGTGTGTTTATGTGAGGTTCACTTCCCGTTTTATTTTGTAGCACTCTGGCTCTTGTGTCTTGTCCGGCTTTGCTTCCTGTAGTATGATATGACAGTGGTCATACATTTTTTCAGGTATGACCACTGCCATATCATACTACAGATAAGATTCAGTTTTCTAAGAAGTCTTTCGGTGCTTCAGCAGGATTCTCATAAAAGCTGTCTTTCCCCGCCGCCTGGTGAGCACCCAGTGGTTGGTATATCTCTACAAGAGGTTGCAGAGGCTATTTGTTTCTCCAGCAGTTATTATTGTGAATCAGCATAGCATCAGCCATTTAACATTAGAAAGTTCAGTGTAGCTATCTAACTGTGGTTTGCTTTAAATGTACTTCAGCTATAAAGAAATCATCACTATCATTGCTACATCAAGGTAATTATCTTCCTTTTCCTCTAACATATACATCACTTTTTATAAACCTGGTCCCTCTGGGAGAAGTGAGGGCTTCCACACAGTCAGCAGCTAAAAACTGTCTTCTCATGCTGCCTGCCTCCCACTGCATGTCTGATTTACACCCTCGATCTACTGGGAGCACTAATGAAGGATAGAAGAGTCATTATCCTGAAACACATAAGCAGCCAGCAAACCAGCCAGCATGACCAGTGCAAGTCAAAGAGGGAATAAGACAAACACTTAAACTTTTTCTTTCGCCTGGCGACAGACTCGAAGTCACCATCATGCTTAACTGTTTCCTTGACACTGACCCAACACATTTAATATCAGTTACACATAATTTAAGATCACAGTTGTAGATCCAGCATACATGTTGAAAAACTTACTGCTCCATTTAGTCAAGCACAGCAGACGTCAAAGTTAATGACAACAATGGAAAAAGTGGATCTTGCATCTGTGATTTCATGGTCCAGCTGTGATTGGGGCAGGTGTGTCTCACCTCTCAAAGACATATCTGAGGGCTATAAAAGCGAAGGCCAGTGGCAAGGTGTAGATAAGATCCCTTGGTAGAGGATAGCGGCCCTCGTTCTCCGACATCTCAATGTCCTGCCAGCTGATACCTTGAGGAAGCCAGTACTCCTCCTGCCACAGCCACTCATTTAAAAAGGCCTCCATCCTGAGGGAAGGAGAGGAGGAGAACTGTGTTACATGTGAGTGCTTGCTCCCAAGCAGACCTAACCTGTTAAAACATTGATGCTTTATTCATATTTAAGCCAAACAGCAGCTGAGACTAAACAGTGAAAGACACACAGAGGGAGCAAAGCATCTTCATTGTTCACATTGATCCAAATGAACTGCTCCACTTGATTCATTTTCTTGATGTATAGGGAATAGGGAAAATTTAAAATTTCCCAGAGCCCCCCCAGCTTCCAATTCACAACCATAAGAAAAGCAGAAAATCATCACATTTAAAGACTGAAACAATGAATCAATTATCAAAATAGTTGCAGCTTAATTTTCTTTTAATCGGCCAATCGATTGATCAACTCATTGTTTTAGCTTTGCACCACTTAACTAGTGGCTTGGCCAGGAAACTACAGCAAATGTTACTGTTGTACATTAAAACATAATACACAGTCACAGTCAACACATTAATAAACATGGACACACACACACACGCACACACACACACACATCAACACATTCATAAACATGGACATAAACATGGACACACACACACACACACACACACATCAACACATTAATAAACATGGACACACACACACACACACACACACACACACATCAACACATTCATAAACATGGACACACACACACATCAACACATTCATAAACATAGACACACACACACACACACACACACACACACACACACATCAACACACTCATAAACATGGACACACACACACATCACACACATATTCATAAGCATGGACACACACACACACACACACACACACACACACACTCACACACATCAACACATTCATAAACATAGACACACACACACACACACACACACACACATCAACACATTCATAAACATGGACACACACACACATCAACATATTCATAAACATAGACACACACACACACACACGCACACAAACACACACACACATCAACACATTCATAAACATGGACACACACACACACACACACACACACACACACACACTCACACACATCCAACACATTCATAAGCATGGACACACACACACACACACACACACACACACACACACACACATCACACACATCATAACACACACACACACACACACACACACACACACACACACACACACACATCAACACATTCATAAGCATGGACACACACACACACACACACACACAGTCACACACATCAACACATTCATAAACATAGACACACACACACACACACACACTCACACACATCAACACATTCATAAACATAGACACACACACACACACACACACACACACACGTCAACACATTCATAAGCATGGACACACACATACACACAGACACTCACAAACATCAACACATTCATAAACATAGACATAGACACACACACACACACACACACACACACACACACATCAACACATTCATAAACATGGACACACACACACACACACCTCTTCGATTATGGAATCAAGTGTTCAAAGCGGGTCGATCTGAGTTTAAAAGCTGGCCCCTACAGCGTCACATTGATTGGCACATTGATCATAGCGGTACAGCATGATAGCCTACATTAAAGCCTCCATGCAGCCTGCTGGCAAGAAAAACCACAACACCCTGCGCAGAACGACGAGGCGCTGCCAGAAACACAACAGACATAATCCTTCTCTACAGAGACAAAAAAAATCTGATTATATAATAAAAACACGCAGCATAACCTATTAGTGAAGTCTGGCAGCCAGGGAAGGAAGGCCATCTCTCACATCCAGCCGATCAGCCTCGAGCTAAACAGCCCCATCAACAAACAGCCAACCTCTTTTATCACGTGTTTCTATTCTAAATACCAGAAACCCAGTAAAAAGGCCTCATTGTTGTTCCGTAACAGAATATAAATGCGACATTGCGGTTACCTGTCCGCGCTCCTGTGATGGGGATGGGAAGCGTACAGCGGAAGATTGGAGAGGAGGAGCGTGCGTGACGCAACCTGCTCTTCCCGAGGGCGGAGGGAGGCACGCGCTATCATCATCATCATCTCACTGGGTTTTCTGTCACCCTGCATGAGATAAGCATATGGTCGTCAATTCTTGGCAGCGAAAAAAGATCCTGAGTCAGTCATCATGCGTTATAGCACGCTGCCATTCTTCCACCAGCAGACGCAGTTATGATACTAAGCAAATTCCGTTTGTGTCAAATTCAGTCTCACAATTTTCTACATACTATTTTTTTGTTTGGCTGACTGCAGTTTAATTTGGTTCATTCAAGGCTTTTCTCATTACCATTAAGCAAATCCACAAACAAGAGTGACCTTTTTTATTTGCATTTATCCAACATATTCAAATAGTTTTATCTGCTTTGGAAGGATTTCTGTTTTATTTTTACGAAATTCATTTTATGCTTATTCTCCCACTGAGATAAAGGAACCATCTTATACAGGTCTAGGTGTGGCTTCCAGGTGTATATAGTTCAATCTATTCACCAGAGGATGTGGATGTAGTAATAAAGGATTTAGTGCCCAATGTCACATAATATTTAACCTTTTTAAGTAACTACTGTCCTGAAGTAGGAGGTGAGGTTAGTGAGGTTATAGTCCTAGTTTCCCCTCTACTCTGACAATTGCTTCAGTTGCATCTCTCTGCCCAATTTGCTACATAGCCTGAAAGAAAATTAAGGATATCCAGTTAACCCCAGAAAGTAAAAGTAACATTGCGACCAGCTCCACGGTGAAGGAGTTATTTCCAAAAAGGGGAGCGACTTCAGTATTATGAATATGTTAGGTTTCAAAAGATCAGTTGTACAATGCACCTTGGTGATATGTAAGAATTGCAAGATGACTGACAAGAAAAGGGGGGCAATACAACAAACGTATTTCACCACCTCAAGCAGAAGCACCCAGAAATCCCACGAGGAGAGCACAACAGTATGTCGTTTAGTTTGCAGGACTTGTTCATGATGCAGACAGAACAGGTGACTGACAGGCAGTTATCATGGAGAGATGAAGAGATTTTTCTGTCTGCTGCTGTGGAATCCTTGAGATATGTGCGAGAGGTCCTGCAAGAGACTGTACACACACAAATACACACTGTTCTTCTTGCCTCTGAGTGTGATTTACCATCAGAGGTTCGTTTTCAGGGTTACAATCAGTTTGCGGTGTGAGGCCTTTACGTACCATAGTTGGACCACAGAAACCCTGATACAACCTGACAAGTGCAATTGTGTTTCCAGACGATCATTCTAGTAGAAAGCAAACACACATACGTACATCAACACATGCACACAGGCAATGGAGAGAGAGAAAGACAACAATTTAGTCTAATGAATTTTCTGCAACATTTTAAAAGAGCAGCAAGGCAAACAGTGAAAGCAGTGTTGGTTCAGAAATGACACCATATGCTTTTATAGAGGTGTTTTCTCATGGAAGTTGTGTCAGAGTGTATGGTTCAGACAAGCCCGTGTGTGACTGTTTGTGTGTGTGAGTGTTGCACAACTGCTATATAACTGGCATAATGAGAGGAACATTGGTTTCCAAACAAGTATGGCAGCCACTAAGTTAATTTCCTATTTTACAGCCAATCACAACAACAGATGCACGAACACGGCACAGTGGGTAAGGTTGTAAATATTAATCAATGCTACAGAAAGACACTTCAAAACCACATGGAAAAAGTAGCCTAATCTGTATAAATAATGCCTGCTGCCTTTTCTTGTGCTCCTAATGGAGTCCTAATGACATTCACAGGTTTATGTTGTTACCTTGTTCAGTCTGGCCTTTGAATCTGTCCTCTCCTCCCCTCTGTGATGACACTCTCTCTTAAAGGGGCTACAACATGCAAAAACAATTTGGATAAATATACAGCATGTATAAAATACAGTCAGTGTGATCTCTGAAAATAGCAAGCAAGGTAAAAAATGACCAAGTCACCACAAGCTAACGTGTTCCCAGTGACAATGCTAACATGATGATGTTTTCTGTGTAGGCATAGAGAAGTGGGGGCCTCTGCAAGACCCCTGGTTCTTAGCTGTGAACCCCTCTGTCTGGGCCAACAATAACACAGCCAGGGAGGTGGGGAATGTGCACAGGAAACCAGTGCTTTGCAGCAGCAGCAGCAGTGGTGGTGGCGGCTCTGAGCCCGGCTGAGCTGAGCTCCTGAGGACCTGGCTGGAGCACAGTCACGTTTCAGAGCTGGGGCCAAGGGGGCTCCTCCAGGACCCCCCCCCCTCCCCACACACACACACACAGTCATTTGATTTCTCTCATTCTCTGTTTCTCTTTCATCAGCACAAACACACAATCTCCTTAACGCAAACTCTCCTGATCCTCATTTTGTCCAATATCCCCCTGGTGTCTCTGAACGCTCCCTGTGATCCCCCTTCTCCTTCTCTCTGCCAGGTGTTGTGTTGGCACCTTGTGGTTGCCAACACAACAGGGCCTCTGTTCTCGGCTCCATGTGGAAGACCGCTGGGAAGCTCACATGCATGCCTCTGTCTGTGTTTCCCCTCTTTTTCAGTTTCTCTCCGTTCCCCCCTCTATTCACTTCTCTCTCTGAGCATTCCTCGAGCTCACCACTGTTGTTTCTCATTCTTTTGTCTGTTGTTTTTGGCATCACTTCACCCTCGGACCCCCAGAGTGAAGCCAGTTAACTCTCCAGCTCTAAGCTCTAAAGACAACAGTGCATGGCCTCCTCTTCTTAACATACACTCTATTTGAGACCAGGCTAACACAACAACTCGAGGCATACAATACAAATGGTGCTCCTGGGGGATTTGGATGTCTCCCTCATGGAAGGTTTGACCTAATTCCTATGCTGGGCTAAAAAAGTGTACCGCTTTATTCCTGCAGAGAGCGCCAGACACTGCAGGATCTGTGAAACAGTCCATAGTAGTTGAGTATTTGACAAGCTGGCTGAGAAAATTTCTTGGGCACCTAGGTACGTGTACTTTATTGATTTATTTCCATTTCATATCACTTTATGCCGGAGAAGAGGGGAAATATTGTACTACATGTATTTTGCAGTTGTTTACATAAAAAAACACAATATTATAGGCTTAAATTCAACACATTATTAAAGACTAAATAAGTGGTTCCCAACCTGACGGTATTTTGACCCTGAAAACAACGACAACGACAACGACAACGACAACGACAACGACAACGACAACGACAACGACAACGACAACAACAAACAATGTCTTGTTGGGGCTCCTTGTCATGTTCCCTCTACACTTCTTAGAACGTTTCATTTAAACATCTGTTTGAGGCCCGAAGAGGTAAAACTCTCTAATATTTCACAAAAAAGTGAAGATTAGAGAAGTCAGAAAAATTTATATAAATTTGTGTAGATAAACTTGGCTGTTTCTTCTTTCATTCCCCATTTATCATCTTACAACCCCTCAGATTTATTTTGTGACCCTTTGGAGTGCACCTGGTCCCTCGGTTGTTATTAACTGGGCTAAAGTAGGCTACATGTGAAGTATTTAAAACTAGCTGCACCTGGATCAGCTACAACAGTAAAATGTTGCTTAAACATTAATGCATCAGTATTATTAATGTAATTTATTTTCACACACAGTGTACCATTCTGCAAAACCGGTACTTTTACATTTACCATCCATCCATCCATTGTCAACCGCTTATCCTGCGTACAGGGTCGCAGGGGGCTGGAGTCAATCCCAGCTGACATCGGGCGACAGGTCGCCAATCCATCGTATGGCCACACATAGACAAACAACCAGTCACACTCACACCTAAGGACAATTTAGGGTCACCAATGAACCTAGGCTGCATGTCTTTGGAAATTTTTCATTTACCATCTTGTGTAAATTTAGCTGGTATTACTTCTGTACCTTTACTGAAGTATGGTTTCAAATGCAGGACTACTTGTAATGTATTTTTACACTGCCATCACTGCTAGTCCCATGTACTAACGTATATGTTTTAGCTTTTTTTAAGATGGTTTGTTTTTAGGACAAAGAAACTTATTTTGTAACTTTCTCTGTCCTACAGTGTTCATTCTTTAGATCCATAATACACGTAAAAATGTTCCTACAAGCATCCTTTCTCTCACAATGAGAATCTCAGTTTTGGAGCTCTAAGATTATTGTCAAACTCATATTGCCATTAAAACTGAAGGCTGTATCCCTCTTCACTTTACTGTTTTGATTTTAAGTTTTCTCTTAATTTTAACTGTCTACCCATATTTTATATCAACATGTTCTGCAGCTCACAGTGAATAGAAGCCCCATCTTTCAGCCAGAGTGAACACAATCAAGTTTTCTTCAAAAACAAACAAACAAGTGAAGTATAAGTGTTCCCTTATAGTGAAGTTATGTATGCTTTTAGAAGTCTTTATTATTTACACATAATAAAACCCAGATAGATAGGATTGAAAAGCTATTACTTGTTCATTCAAAATGAAAAATAATATAACGTAGTGTGATATTGACTGTGATTCCAAAAAAGCTATGGCATTATTTGTTTTGCTGCTGACAGAAAATACAAAAACATCCAATTCATTTCTAGAACATGAGTGAAAAAACGGGAATATAAAACACTCCAAGTGGTCGCCTAGTAAATGGACAATAAGCAATATAATTTTAAGGTGCATTATGCGTGCCAAGAGAACAATGGGAGTATTTTTGTTGATTAATTTCTGCTGTGGTCACATTACCTAATACAGCAACCAGCTGTATGGGTATTCCTCACATTGCGTGCCTTTGTGTGTTTGCGTACAGATGTGTGTTTATGTGCTTGTGTGCTTGGTGAAAGGTACGTTTCCATCCTTTAAGCGGATCTGAGGAGGTAAACATCATTAAACTTTAAGTGATGAAGTTTGATTGTCAAGTATAAAGTCAGCTACAAAGCCTCTCTCACCCACCTGTTTACAGCCTTAATTAACAGGCAAACTTC